CCATAGAATCCGTGCGTTTCAGCACGGGCACTCCTAACGCGGACCAAGGGAAATAACCAGCTCAGAGGAGAGGCAGACGGGAGGGAGAAACCAACGACTCCACCACCCAGGTTTCAAAGTCCGCCCAGGAACGGTCGAAAATGCTTTTTTGGTGGTGGGCAGGCAACTTTTTGGAGACCACCATAAGTGGGATTATGGTGCCCTCGGAATTGTACCTGAGAGCAGCTCGGCCACCTTTTGTCGGTTCCGAGGATGAGATGCAGAGCCGCACACCCCAATCGCTCTCGCATTTGCCCACTCAACTCACATCTCATTCATCTGTGCTGAGCAAACTCACAGTGAAATCTGCACATGAGAAGTGAGTCTAACTCTCACACAGCAGCAAAGTTCACACACATCCCTCAGAATAGAACCAGGCACAACGAAGATTTGACATCAAATCATTGCTATGAAATTTTTTTATAATTTTACACACAATAGAGAAAAAAGAGTTTGTAGTTGCAAACCGCTCCAACAAGCACAAGAATGCTTTTCTTTGACAAATTTGAGTTCCGGATGTGTTGATATTGTGTGCAAAACAAGGAGGTGGGGAGACTGATTAGGGAGGAGGGGGAGTCGTCGGGAACCACACAACGTCAACGCTGAGAGAGGCACAGATGAAGGAGGAAGGAGGGAAAGCAACGCGCTCTAGGTAGAAGCTGAAACTTCTAATTGGAGTGTTGTCTGCTGCGGACTAAGCCCTCTCGCTCTTCATGGGGCAACCTCGGGCTGGAAGTCGGCTCCGGGCACGACGTAGCGCTTGGCCCATCTCAGTCCGCTGTTCTCCTCACGCTTCTGTCTGGCGGCGCGCTTTCCACCGCGGTTCTTGCCCCTCTGGCGTCCGTTGCCGCCGGCGTTCGCGTTGCCTCCGGTGTTGGCGTTGTTGTTGCCAGTGTTGCCAGTGTTACCGGTGTTGCCAGTGTTGCCGGTGTTCGCGTTTCCAGTTCCAGCGTTGGCGTTGCCTCCGGCGCCGGCAGTGCCGTCGACAGATGGGCCGGTGTTGGTAGCGGGGAACTCCTTGGTCACGACCTCAGGGACACCCAGAAGCTTGTTGGCAGCAGCGATGTTATCCTGACCCTGTTTGGTGCCGTCAATCTGGTTAGCCTTAATGGCGGCCGGGAGGTCGGCGGCGTTCTGCTGCTGCTTGGCGAGGACACCCTCGAGGTCCTGGGCGGTCTTGATGTTCTGGGGAGTGTTCTGGGTGGGGGTGACATCGGATTGCTGGACGGCGAAGCAGCCACCGAAGGGGCCGGCGACGGCGTTGTTACGGCAGCGGACGGTGCAGACGTTTCCGGTGGAGGCGCCGGTGCACTTGAGGTCGTTGGGCATCGTGACGGTGATGTTGAACTGCTGGGCCTTGGCCTGGGAGAAGCCGTTGGTTCCGGGGACGTTGTTGGTGACCTCGAGAGGAGTCTGGCCGGTGGCACCGAGGGAGTTGCCGGTAGGGTCCAGATCGCAGGCGAAGGGGCCGGCACCGTCGGCGTTCACCTGGTGGATGGTGACGGTGACCTTGGAACCAGGCTTGACCTGCGTAACGGCGCCGGCAGCCAGGGCGTTCTCGGTGTTCTCGCCGACATCGATGTTGCCGGAAATCTCAGTACGTCCGCACTCGTTCACGGTGTTGGCCTTGATCTCGGCATCACGGATCAGGGTGGCGTCCTGCTGGCAGGGGTTGATGGTCGTGCAGTTGCGGGCAAGGTTGGGGTCGACTGAAATTTGGAGTCAGTGAAATGAATTCCACGATAAGCCCGGTGAATCCTCCGATGATGAAATCTCATTTTGAAGCCATCACCAAATGGTTCGTTTGTTTTCCAGCTCACTTACCCTTGAAACCAACAGAAGCAGGACCACCGGCATCGCCCTGAGCATTAATGATAGCCGCGTGGCCGCGAACCACCGCCAGCATGGACGCGCCGATAATGATATCCTTGAAAGAAAGCATCTTGTCTCGCAGAGACTAAGTTCAATGTGCCCAGCACGATTAAAGGAACGAAGTGAAGGAAGAAGAGAAGAGAAGAAAAGAAAAGCGAAGCCCGCTGGGAGAGCGAAGGCACAAGTGAATGATATTGATTGTGTGGGTGAGGGAGGAAGAGGGAGAAACCTAAAAGACGAGACGACGCCGCGAAGGTCATCTTATACATAACCTCGCGGACGAGGGCCGAAACGACGTAAACGTAGTCAAACGCCCACCATCAATGATGTACGCTGATCTGCTCAGATCATCTGCAACACCTCCTGTCGCAAGGCTGTGGTGCTGGGCGGAGTCGCGACCTGACCCTGAACCAGTCCTCTCTTGGCAGATGGAGGGAAGCCTGGGAATAGGCACTGGAAGGGGAGGGAAGGGGAAGGGTGAGGCGAGGCAGGGGTTGGTCAGGGTGAGCATGGTGCAGTTCGCGTGTTGGTCGAGGCCTTGTCAGCGGCCGGTAGCGAGGCATTCGGGTGGCATATGGGGGGCATTACCATAGTATGGCCAGTATGGCAGCGCATTCAGGACGTGGAGGAGGCTCTGGGAGTGCGTTGGATGTGGATGTTGGGTGGTTGAGTCTGCCTCTGGTGGTGGTGGTGTTGGTGGATCTTGGAGTTTGGCGAAGGATCCCTGTCTGTTAACACACACAAGACCCCTGCCTCCCACCCTTCTAGCCCATGCAAGTCCGCCCTTGTCCGCTCTCGTCCGGGATGGTCAAGTCGGTTGCCCGCGAGTCAACGGCGAGTTTTCACAAACGGCGTCTAGCCGTGTTTGGCAGGGCCGAGACAGACGGGAGGTCGGACGATTAGGCGCTGAGGGGTTGGTTCTGAAGAGGCGAGCGTGTTTCACAGAGCATTACCAGATGCCCTAGTAAGCAATTTGACAACGGAGCCAGGGCATGTCAGCGCCCCTCCAAAACGCAGCCAGACCACCACCAGGCGCCCAAAAGGGGACGAAGGGGGGCGGCAGCGAGCGAGGATAATGAAGCTTACTACGCCGTCATAATGCCTGCGAAAGAGGAACCTTCTTTGCCCTCCTCCTGCGAGATGGCTGCGGCCCATTGCTTTTTCTGGGTGCACCGCTGCGAGGTCGTCTGTTGTCCCAGGGTCGACCCGTCTCTTCTCGGCCAAAAGGGGGTCACAGACTCGAGGTGTGATACACGTGCCAAGAGGCAAAGCCCAAAGCGCGCGACGATGGCGGCGGCCGAGGGCGAGCGAAGAGAGAGTGGAAAGCAGGGCGAGAGCGAACAGCAAGCCGGGGCTGGAAGATTCCTCCCATTCTTTTTCGTCCCATTCCTGAAATCCTGACGTTGACAGCAAGCAGGCAGGCATCGTGGCGTCCCGGCTGCGGCAGCGGGTAGGACGGACAGAACGTGGACTCGTCTGGTGTTGCTGACTCTCTCACACACTCACTCTTGCTCTTCCTTTCTCTCTCTTTTCCCCTACGCAGTCACCTTTTCGTCCCGCCCTCAAGGGTGAGACCGACGCTCGGAGACCGGCCGAAGGGGTCGCCTGTTTAGCCCAAAAGAAGCCACACAGGCGACGGATGGAGATGCCGCCCAGATCCATCCAGATCGTGGCTGGTCTTGTTTTAGAGATTTCGACCAGACGACGAGGGCAAGAAGATGCGAGCCGCTAGTCCCAGTTCCCAATCCCGTCCAGCCCCAGCTGAGCCTCCTCCAAGAAGCTGTCAATTGTCGATGTTTATGACGATCGGGAACCACTTACCGATGACCGACTCGGGGATCATGTGTGGTGTTGCGACCGTGAACTCCAGAAGCCAAGAGCCAGCAACCTGCTTCAGCAGCGCATCAGCGTGGAGAGTCGCCGTCAATCAGCGTCAATCATCAGCAGCGGCCCTACCGATAGTAAAGCCAATCTCCTCGGGGGTCCGGGGAGCAATCTATCTTGCCCACACGAATCCCCGTATTCGATATAAGGTAACGGATGCAATATACATAGATTAACGGGTACCTGACCGCCGAACGGACTAAAAGAGCGTTGTATGGTACCTTGCATGGAAGGCCGTCCATCACTCGGATGATGCACACTGCTTGGCCACTTGGCGGACTTCACTCCTGCTTGCCTTGCCATTACGCTTTTGTCATGCTCATACAGTTTGGTTTCCATGGCTGCTAAATTCCGGTCATAATTCCCGCCCGCGTCTCCAACACGGCTGCCACCTCACGCACACTCACACAAACCACCAAAACCACCACCAAGACAACCACCATCCCCAAATAAAAATTCTCCGCGACGGAAAGGAGAAGCGCGAGATCCACAAGATTGCTGCAAGGAGAGCGCCTCCCCCCGGCAGCGCAGGGATCCTAATACCAGGATCTACCCTTCACGTTTCACCTCGGCCCACAGTTAGAGCAGGTGTCATTCGATCACCGGCAGCCTCAAGTGGGTGGGCTGCATCGCTCGTGGGTGGATTTTGGACGTTTCGAGACGAATCTGAAGCATCGACATCGAGCCACTAGGGTCGCAAAAAAGGAGATAGCTCGGGGTTCTTTGCGTCTTTGCAAGACAGCCATTCGCTGTGGTGTCGTCACTTGGCCAGTTTCTTCATGATATTGGTCCACACACGTAAACTCGAACGCTCTCTCTCTCAGTCTCGCGACCGGCGCCCCCGTCCTCCGTGTTCACATGGATTTCAATCTCGTCTCGCGCTGCCCTCCGCAACTGTAAAACTTTAGTTCTTAATTACCTGCCCAAAATTGCTATGCTCCCCTCCCCTCCAACCCCGCCGAGCGTTCGCGTCGCCGTTCTCCTGTTCGACCCGCTTGCAACCTTATGCCAAAAAGTCGACGCCTGGACCAATGATGATTATGATCGGGGATTTAGGAGCGGCTGGTCCCCTTTCTCGGCGGCACGATGCATCAACCTCGCAGATTGCCTATTTCCAGCCAGCACTGCAACCCAGCCCAGCGGCTGTCGCATCTAACCTCATTAGTGTTTGACGCTCTGCACCTCAGCCCCTTCGGCTTCCCCTTCTACTGCTGTGCCTTCTTCCAGGCTTGGTCAGCGTCGGGATGGACCGACGGCGAGGCAATATGCTTCCGCGCCTCCTGCTTTTCTTTATAATCCGTCTTGAACCGCCGGTCTCTATCGCCGACGTACTTCTCAAAGTCGAACTGTCCCTCCGCCGTGAAGCTGGTCATCAGTTGCGGCTCTCCTAGAGGCAGCTGATGGCCCTTGTCGACTTGCCAGAGGTGATAGACCTTGCCGTAGACGCGAACGATTTCCTCCATCTCCTTGTTCTCCGCCGCCTCCCACAGCGCATCGGGCAACGACGGCTGGGGCATGATGAGCATCCCCGACTTGACCTCGTACACATGGCTATGCCACAGCTTCCGCTCCTCCGGGTCCAGCGTCTCGTACAATTGCGGTGAAATCATGTACTCGATGCCAATGATGCGCGCGTGGGGCTCGGGGCTGTCGTAGAGGATGCACTGTCGGACATCGTCGTTCAAATGTCCGCAATAGTGGTTCGCCTCAACCACCCGGGACGGGTCCGATGCGTAGGCGTGGAACGCGTTGAGGTGCGCGCAGACGTTCTTCAGCGGCGCAAAGTCCTGGTTGTCCGGTTAGCACGATGGAGTTCACTATCCATATGTCGCATCGGCAGGCAAAAACAGACCTGGACGGCCGAGGCGCCGGCTTGCAGGACCTGGTTCTTAGTGGTAATCGGGTCGCCGGCGGCGGGGTTCTTTTCCGACTTGGTTGCCATTGTTCACTGTGAGCGAGATTGCAATGTCGCTCGCTAAGCGGGATCCTTGGGTTTAGTACCACGGTTGGGTCTGTCGATGTTCGTCTAGACTTGCTCACCGCCGGATTTCGTGTCTTTGCGATTCCTCTTCTGTTTCTGGTCTCTGGAAAATCTCAGCTCGATAGTGATCATGTCTACGGTGTATTCGTGACGTCATGCAGCATGTGCGTGTCCTGCAACGCGAATTTCATCATGATTGCGGCATGCGGTGGCATTGCGCACATCCTCTGCAAGTATTGGACGTTCGATTGTCGACCGCAAGTCCAGAGCGTGAACTCAGATGCACAGGCCGGAGCGTTGTTTCCGGCGGCTCTTGCTCTCGGCAGCCCAGTGCGGCAAAACCTTCCGAAGCTGATCCGGATGATCCGGATGATCCGGATGATCCGGATGATCCGCTTCCGGGCGGGTGCTCCCGCCGTAGCGTGCTCCGAGATTTTCTGGGTCTCGATCGGCCGGCGCCGAGGAGGGGCAGTGCATGTCCGGGCTAGGGCAGAGGTACTTCAACGGAAGGTCCCGATGATTAACGGTCACGAATCATGGTCCCGTGAAACAGGCCGCTCGGATTTTGCAACAGCGGAATACGGGCACATCACGACTAAATGGGGAACCATTTTTTAAATCACAAACTTGAGGACTCTTTTTAGCCAAGTAGTTAATCATGACACAAACGGATGTCACCATCAATACTGTAGCCTCATGCGTGACTCGCCGATAAATCTCGTAATTCCAACATTGCGCAACATTCACAGTATCGCCAGACTGACGGATGTATTACGTTCAGTTAGTCCAAGCTATCGATCCGCGCCGCGCAGTGAGGCCGAGGTAGTACACATTGACCGTTGACAGATTGACCGAGTGAACACGTCCAGCTTCGCTCTCACCCTTCCTTAGACGATATCCCTTAGGTGCAAAAGATGCAGCCGCAGCTGAAGTCAAAGCTGCAATCGCGCTTATGAACGTCGGGGTATGCGGCGATGATGGCGTCGACGTAGTCTTTGCTTAGCTTGATCGACGTAGTCTGCCCTTCAGGCGCAGGGGCAGCGACGGCAACGGACGCAAGGGCGAGAGCGGCAACGGCGAAGAATTTCATGATGGTTGCAATAAGACTGCGAAAACGTTTTGGTTAGTTCAAGGCAGACTCACGAAGTTGCTGGATTGAAAGATGAATCTTAGGCATGTGCGCTTACAGTTGTACGAGTGAAGATTTCTTGTGAGATATTTCTTCTCTGATGGGAACTTATTGACGAATTCAAGCGTAAATAGTGCCATCAACCCATCTTATATAGTTCAATGCCACAGAAAGGTACCGCTTCCCCATTGTCACATACAACCATCCATATTCGCCGGAGAACAAGCCTTCAAAGTGCGAGGTTGATTCCACATTGGTGGGTTTCGAATTACCGTACTGTCACGACAAGTCCACGAATTGTCATCTTCCAACATCTATACAGGCTTCTCATAACCAATACTGGTGCAATAGAAGCTAAAATCAACACGTCAGAGGCCTTGGCATTCTGCGTCTCACAGGCGGAGGTCACATCCGTTGGTAGATGTGAGCGTCGATCGCGAAGCTATCCCCGGGCGAGTGGTCGTACGCGCGAGTAACTAGGGAGTATTCCTAGGATAACAATAAGCATAATTTGGACTAATCGGACCATTGCTTCCAACGAATATTCAGATTTGTGAAAGGGGGGTCTCAGATTGCTCTATTCCAACTTGCAATCGGCAACCGACTGTGGAACGACAAAGTAAGTATGTTGAGATCATTCGTGGAACACAATTGACCGGTAGGATTCTCATGGACGGCTTATCTCTCGGACTTCTCTTACTATATGCACCTACTCCGACTCCCTATGACGGATCAGGCTTTACGAATTAACCTCATGATGGACGAAGGATCGTTCTTGGCAAATCCTAGACTGTGGAGTTGAGCGAATCAACTGCCAGCTTCAGACGCGTTGAACTAAGCGATATGATAGGACATGCACTTGTAATCACATATTGAGATTGTGGATGTTCGGATGTTTTCTGACGTCGATGAATCATTTTTGTTGCTGATTTATGCATCTTTCGTGACGAGGAATACGGATTTCCAAACTCTCGAGAGACTCAAACTGCTTGAGGGCAGAAGACCTCTTGGATAATACTCAATCATTTTTGTTTCTCATAGTACTGGAAAGAGAACGTAAGTCATCTTGGAAGAGAGCAGAATCTTTTGAAGCCCATCGTCTCAATTTCCTGCTCGTAGCCTCTGCTGTCTCGGTGTGCTCACCTCACCGAGTGCAACGTTCTGGCCATTAGTGGCCCACCGAGATTGTGGAGCATTTAGCCCGGTAACAGATACTCGGTGGTAATCTCCACCTCGGTGAAAGCCGGAGAGACGATTCAAGATCTCGAAGGGGAAGCCGATTGGGTTGAAGAAGATTTTGCCCACCATCAGCCACTAAATCACAAACCCTGCTAGACTTTTGCGCAGAAATAAAAGGGTGCGCTGCACAATAGTAGCGATGTTATTGTTGTTAAACTTTTCGAGGTCGCAACGGCGATGGAGGTCGGGTGCATTACTTACGGAGTGAAGTGGGAGGAAACTCCTGGATCAACCATGCAGTCAGTCTTCAGCCGACGAATACGAGATGTTCGTCAAAAGCTGAACAAAGAATTGAAGAAAAACATGAGTGCCGAGTGTCAACTCACGGGAAGCTGTGTTGGGACTTGAGGAAATGCAGATCGATCTCATTCTGGTAATTGCCGTTTTTGTCTCTGATGCCATCAAATCCCTGCATCAAGTTGTGCCTCCCCAGGCTTCTTCTATTCTTAGCATGATCATTGTCTGAGGTCGGATCCGATGGGAAGTCCGCGATCACCAGCTAAGCCGCCTTGCTGGGCTTAGTCCTTTAGTGACCCTTGAGCTAGTGAACCTCCGAAACGATACGGACTACGTCACCAACCTCATGATTTTTCTCGATCAAATCTTCTTGCCATTTATTGTGCTCTAAAGGTCGAACCGAACACCGCAGTTACAAGGCAATCGGGAGCTTCGGCTTGGAAGACATGGACTTGATCGCGGGTCTACGAGTTGGCAAGTGCCCCCAGGCAATCGCACCACTCAAGATGTACAAGAATTTTTGTGAATTGGCTCTGCGCCTCAACGCAAGCTTTACACGCGACCCAAAGGCCGCATGCCGAAAGCCGGGATGGGAAACAATTGATTGAAGTGCAGAGTGAGAACTTTCAATGCATTCGTCAATCCAAGAGGCAAATCCTCGTATTCTTTCGAGGATCAGCTTGAGGTGTCTTATTCTCCGCCGTTTTTCGGGCGGCGTGATGGTAGTGGCATCTGACGTGCGCCTACGGGCCGATCTAGTGTGCCAAGCCACGAAGCTTGTGCCGTCCGAGGATGTGCCAAACCAATGCCATGTTGGTTGCTTATTGACGTAAGTAGGCGTGCAATGCAGGCGCGTGTAGCTAGGCATCAATACCAGCAACAGGAAGTAACGTTGAATTTCGGAGAGCTATGCTGCTATAGAAACAGTAATGAAAAATAATCTAATACAATATCTACGCATCGCCCGTTATGCGTACAGCTTTGCAAATGACTCGTGGATAAATCTGAATGCTCAATGCTCATGCAAGCGGTGTGGAGAGGCAGTGTGAATTGAGGACAAAAAAAGATAATGAAGTGGTGTCAAAAGAAAATGCAAAAGAAATCGTCACCCACAGGATTCGAACCTGCGCGTCCGAAGACACTGGCTTGGTAGCAGATAATAGCAGGCCAGCCCATTAACCACTCTGGCAAGGTGACTAATCAGTTGATGTGGTGGTCTGATACTAACTTGACTATATTGGGCAGTACCTTGGACAGGTACCATTGGCCCCGCAAATACGAGAAGATCGTCAAGCAGAGCTTCTGCTCCCAGCGACATGCAGCGGACAGTTGTGTACACCAGATCACTGCCGACAGCTGGTTGGTTAGACCCCTAAAAAGCGGCGCATCCTACCCGAATTTCTCAGCTCCAGCACTTCATTGCGCCATGCTGGTCCTCTCCACATAAGGAGGAACAGCACTATGCCAGCACAGATATCAATGTTTGTATGCTAGTCAGTTGTCTGACTCTGACGTGTTTGTTCTGTTTGGCCCATTGAAACGTTACCGTTGGTAGGTGGTAAGGACAGCCCGGTCCAGCGCCGTCTACTCGAATCGAAGCGAAGAAAAAAGCAACGCCACGCAACGGAGCTCCCTTCTTCCCTCGGGGCAATACGAGAGCTTGTCAAAAACAAGTCGTTTTTATTTATAAAGATCGGCCGGATCGGCACTAAAACACTCGGGGAAAAGTAGGCCAAAGTTTGATTAGTGCCACCTTTGGGCCTCAGCCCCCGTCGCTTTTCCCGCGCGTGTCAGCGGCACGCTTCCCCCGACCGACCGAATTCCCTCTTTTCCCGCCCCCTTTTCCGGGACTGACGTTGTTCAACTCTGCAATGTTCCCCGGGAAGAACCAAGAACCCGCTAAATTGGCGGAAACTGCTAAGAATAGGCGGATTAGGAAACTTTCTAGGGGTCCTGCAGGCTGCGCTCAACTCCCAAAGTCTTCCAAGTGACCCAGGAAACGCTCCGATGGCGACATGAGCCGCAGCGCCACCCCGCTGGAGTCGGGAGCCGCTCGCTCGGCTAGCACGGGGGAGGATTGAGGAGACCCAACGATGTCATGCCCAGAAGATGTGCGCCGCCTTACCGACATGTTGGCTGAGTGCCGGGAACCTGACGTCGGGTGATGCGAAAATAACCGTGGGGATATGGAGGCGGCTGGGGTTGAGTCTCCATGTTCATTCGATGTTGTGATGGAATACTTAAAGATCGGCCAAATCCTCTCCATCCCATCTCTTCTTGTCCACCAACACGCATCTAGACTTCCTACTCATCTGAACTCCTGAACCAACCACAACAACAATCCACCCACCTTAATCACCAACCCCCTACAAATCATTCAAAATGCAGTTCCGCGCTTCCATCGCCGCCGCCGCCTCCCTCTTTGCCCTGGCCAACGCCCGCATCTACGGCATTGCCTTCCCCGAGACCGTCAAGGCCGGCGACCAGGTCAACGCCATCATTGAGACCGAGAACTACATCCAGTCCGTCCAGGACGTTGCCATCGCCTTCGGCATCGCCCCCGAGGCCTCTGCCTACCCCGGCACCCTCTCCACTGTCATCGGCTCCTTCTACCTCGGACCTGGTAAGCCTCCCGCGGACCCCACGTAAACCACCAAATTTGTTCTAACCTTGTGCCCAACAGAGAAGTCCAATGTTCTTGACAACATCACCGAGACCGTGACCATCCCTGCCGAGCTCGCCGCTGGCACGTACGTCGTCTCCGCCGGCGTCTACAGCCTGTACGGTGCCTCTTCCAGCACCACTCTCACCAACTACAACGTCACCATCACCGTCGGCGACGCTACCAGCGAGAACTACGTCGGCAGCCAGTAAATGCAGTACGACTTCATGAGCATCAGATAAAAATCACATGGCATATAAATGGCGTTGGGTCTGCTTCACTTGCATATGCACGACTTCCTTTCAACCTTTCAACTGTCCTCTCAGACGCAACCAACTGGGGTGGACACCCTTATCTATAGGACAAGATAGATGAATTCAATAATTGATAGTGTTTTCACTCGCATGCCCTCCATTCAATCCTGCTTAATGCGGGTCGCGCTCCAGACTCTGTGAAGGCCAGTCTTTGTACGAGGTCTTGTGTTGGAGAATGGTGGTTAGCCTTTGACGATTGTTGCCGGGAAACGTTCGAAATACTCAATTACTAGACTTCCGGTCTTCTCATTTAATTGAAAGGGGGACTAATAAGCCGAAAGAGGTAATGCAGGTGTGGATGACCTCATTCTGCGGCTGTGAGCTGTGCCGCAGGCTGGCGTGGTGAACGTGTATGATAGAGCCCCTGAATGTTTGCAAGCGTGGCATTGAAGACTTTTAGCACGTAAGCTACACCAAGCTTCGCAACAGAAAGTAGGTTTGGTCTTGTTAAGTTGATAAAGAATGCTGGATACTTGGTACGCTAGACTGGTTCTGGGGGTAGCAAACATCCAGGGGTTGTAATACTGGACCCAGGCCATGTCAAGGTGTATCTGACAGCCTGATTTCGAGAGGTCGCGCAGGATTTTATCTCACCGGTCTTCGTCATGCCCAAGCCCTTTCCTCGACCTCTCCGACATCTCGACTTCATTCTTTCAGAGTCGTCTGCAAACTTCTTGATCGCCTGGGCTTCTGATTGTGACTTCTATTCTTCATTGAGAACCGACCTTCGTCTAAACAACAGTAACAACAGAGGGAAACACGAACACGCCGAGCATGGCAGATGTCTTAGGAACAGTCCTTGGGGTGGTGTCCCTAGGGCTTCAAGTCGGCGCCAGCATCAGCAATTATCTCGATGGAGTCCAGTGCCGCAAAGAAGACATGGAGTACACAACGAGATGTTGCAAGTCTATGAACTCTTTGTTGCAACAGATCAAGTCACTTCAGTATCAACTTACCGGCGTGAATATCACCGCTGTTAGAGAGGCGATGACGACAGCGGAGGTCGAACTTTCCATCCTCGGCAACTTTGTTGAAAAGATACGGGCCGGGAATAATGCCAACTACCCTAATCCGATCATGAAGAGGGCAAAGAAACAGAAAACGAAGCTTCTGTATCCTTTTCAGAAAGATCATCTCTATCGACTCAACGCGCAGTTGGATGCCGCCAACAGAGCTCTTCAGGCGGCCTTGCTACAGGTCCAGTTGTATGTGACACTTTGAGTGCCTACAGTTTGGCTCTGATCGGTTTCTAATTGTATGTATAGGAAGCTTTCCATCGGTCATGGTGAAGAGTTACAAGGGCTGAAAATTGGCCTCGACTCATTGTCGCGGGGAGTTTCTCAAATGCATCTGGCTGTTCAGACGTCTGTCCAGAAGACATACTCAAACGGAATGATTTTGAATTCGACCTTGAACAACATCGAAAAGAAAACAGCGAATCTGCCTGTGGCCTCAAGTCAACAGGAGACGACGCTGGTCCGAGAAGATCTCAAAGAATTGAAAATGATGTTGACGTCCTTGATGTCTTCATGTTCCGATGGCAGGGCGGTCCTGCCACGATTGATCTCCAAACCAGCCGTTTTGAAGAACTTCTGCGATGTTGCAGAAGTTGACAGTGGAAATGCGGCGGCTGGTGCAGCAAACGATTCCGACCGTCCGTTCTCGCGAAGCCGTTCCTACCCTGGATTCCAATGCACCTGCAAGCCACGCCAAGTATGCAGACAGAGGAGACAACGGATTGGATTGGCGTTCTGGGAGCAAGAAAGCCTAATTGGCAACGTTCATGCGTCCTGGTGCTCTTTCGCTAGCGTATGCACGACGTTGAATGATACATGGTCTATCGGTATCTCGACAAGTACCCTGAAAGCCATTCTTCCTGCTGCTATCACGTTCTCGATGTCCGCCACCTTCGGTGCCGGGGGTTTTGGCATATCGCCATCCTTTACATACTATCCCGTCCGCCAGAACAGCCCGGCTCTGAATGTCATTCGCCTTTTGGAAGACGCATTCTTTCATCGGGAGTGGAGTGACGAAGAGTGCAGTGGCCTGATTCAATGCGGCTTGAAGACACTGCAGGCCACGTTCATGGCCAAAACATCGTCTCCCTTTGAGATTGATAACTATGGTTGCAGTCTTCTGGGAGTCATGTCTCGCATAGCGGCCAATAGAACTTGGCAAGGGTATAGAAACAGGGTATTTGCGTTTTTGGTTGATGCTGGAGTTCCACGGGACCGACCAGACCAGCATGGATCGTGCGTTTCTTAGTGCCCTACCAGAAGCCAGAATGCTAATATTGATCTACAGATACCCGTTTCATTTGTACATCTACCTCTCATTAACACCTTTGGACACTCTTGCGCAGAACGTGGGCGCGCTCGATATCCTTTTGCCGGATGATAGCGTAACTCCGCTGATTCTACAAGATGCGAAAATGCCCCCTCAAAACTGCGACGCAGAAGCAATGCAAGCTTTCAGAAGGGCGTCTGCTATATCATTGAAGATGAGGAAAGGTAAGTATCCCGACTAAAGACCTGATTATTCGACAGGGCCTAATCAGTTGCAGCCTACGAAGGCCACCTCATGGGAGCCATCGTCCGACAAAACAAAACGATGCTGCTCGACATCCTCAAGAAAGATGCCAACATGTCAGAGTTGTCCGAGATGGACCCATACGGCCAGAAGATGCTGAATTATCTTGTGGGATGGCCCGAAGGCCTACAGATCATGGTCGAACACTGTGGCCTTGCCAGCCTCCAGCTACTCGATCAAAGTCAGTCCACTTTACTTAGCAGCGCTCTCAGCTGGAGTGGGAAGATATGCATAGGCTACAGCCCGCAGGGCTGTTCGGATGACTGCCCATGCGCAAACGCCGTTGATCTACTCGTGAAAGCCGGAAAGGACTCTTCACTCCAATTCAATTTGCATGACAACTGGGTAAATGCAATGCTAGGCGCTTCGGTCAAGGCAAGAGACCTGATCATAGACGAGCTCAAAATTCGCAGGGAAGAGCTGAAACATCTGGGACTCATGCACTTAACCTGCGATCAAATCGATCGGATGGACCTCAAGAAAAAGACGGTTCTCGACTACTACACCAGGCAAGTCTTGGAAGCACTCGATGCGAAAGGCGTTAATGTTCATCCCCGTTGTCGAACGGACTTGCACGCCACAGAGTGGCACTTGGGGGTCACATCCAACGAGCCGAGTGACAAGATATGGCGCAAGGGTGCGTCTGTCTATCACATTCTGGGCTATGCAAAAATCAGCGGGTATTCCATTGGTGCCTGTGAACTAGCAGACTCCCTCTATGCCAAGGGATTCGGCGACATCGATCTCCCGGACATCAACGGTTTGGCCCCTTTAGCCGTAAAGTACCCCTGTAACACCTTGTGGTGTTCTGATTGGAATTTGGAAGCGTCCATTGAATTTTGGTTCATGCAACGTGGTGCAAGCCTACAGAGACAAGTACCCAATTGCGTGACCAGATACTCTGCAGCACATCATGTGCTGAGATTAGTTGGGTCTTGTAGTAACTTTGCGAAGGACAACAGCTCCTTCCACTTGCTGCACCGCTTTTTGGAACGCTATGGCGTGTTGATGCCGACCTTTGATCCAAGAGACATCTGCAATTGTGGATGCTCCGTTGGCGGCTGCAGTCCTTACAACTCAATGTGGAAGACGGCCCTGGAAAATTACAAAAGGTCCGTTTATGCAGGGGACACGGTGCACATGATGAACTTTGTCCGTGAGCGGACTCTGGAGATGGAAGCAACTTTTGATTTCCCGCGGCACATCAAGCAAACATGGCTGCGGGCGTGCACCTTTGCCATGCTGCCCCTTCGCCATACCTGCTGTTGCGATGGCTTCCAAGAACACGACGATGAGGGAATTCTTGAAATCTTGGAAGAAGACGAAGGGGATCTTGAATCCTTCGAGGTTCTCATGGTTGAGCTTGATAGGAGATGGGAAGAGTTGGGCTGCTCTTTGGCCGAGTTCTATCGGTTACATTGGATCGACAGAATGGATGAGGTGCTTCGTCAGATGGACGAACGAATGCTGACAGCCGAGGATATACAGAATGTCAAGAAGCTGGGTATCGATCTGGCAGTCCAACCGGAGCCTTTCACGCGGGAAAAAGGTTCCTATGAGAACAAAGGCTCTGGAGTATTGGTGTCAGCGGATGGATGCGTTGGTTGCGTAAGGGCAACAATGGAATTGTACTATTCTGTGGAAATTCAGGTATTTCCGATAATGGTCAGCAAAGCAAAGTAAAGTACGGCCGAATTGGGGATGAGGCAATCAACAGTGATATATGGAGGGCCCTATCTATCGACGTGTCTTCCCACTCGTTCCCCTCTAATCAAGTCCCGTTATCCGCGTCCAAGTGAGAATTTCGCAGTATTCTCGAAATTTCCACGATGTATCGTGTACCAGTCATTGCGCGAGACACGTCAGTAGGACAGTACGGGACTGTCTTGGCAGTCTCTCTGCGGAATGCTCTGTTGCAGGACGGTCATGGCAACACAAGAACCGAAGCTGCTATTCGGCCTCATCAAGCCAAATCTGTGTCTTCGGCCGCCGCAATAGACCGAGGCCGGCACCCGGTCCCTCGGCCTCGGAGGTCGCATCTCAAAAGATCAAGGCGCCGGCGCTGCCCACGGGTGTTGGACCGCACTAAGGGTTGGTGAGACAATGTCATCAAGCCACCGGGCGTCTTTGCTTACGGCACACGGCGCCAATAGATCAGCTTTCTTTCTCTGACCAATCCATTTCGCGCTTATCTCGCGGTTAACCAAAGTCCGTAATTTCTTACATCCGTCTGACTGCTTTGGGACTTTTGTTTTGTTTGCTGGACAGCCGGTCCTGAAGAAGTCCCATTCTCCCACCTCCTCTCCCTTTCTCCCGTCGCCGGCCACAAACACCGCATCATCGGATCGATCATTCGTCAAAACATCATCGACAGCATCGCACAGCAGCGTGGTAAAGATGTCCGACACAGAAAAGAAGGAAGAGTTCGCGCCCCAAGCGCCGCCTGCCAGCGATGGTGAGGCTGAGGCCGTCAAGAGTCCTGCGAGCCCGGCAGGGTTCGATAAATCAGCGTTCCCGGAAGGCGGTGCCAAGGCTTGGCTGACTGTCTCTGGCGCCTCGGCATGCCTTTTTGTTTCCTTTGGATGGGTGAATTGCGTCGGCATTTTCCAAGATTATTACCAGGAAAATCAATTGCGCGACTACACGCCGTCAGATATCGCATGGATCCCTGCGCTGCAAAGTAAGATTGGCCTCTTTGCTCATTTTCACTTTTTTTTTCTCATCTTTCTCGGCATTTCACCATACTCTCATGAATATGTACCGCTGGGAAAAACTGCTAATCACTCGCATCATGGGCAGTTTTCTTCATGATCTTTAGCGGTCTATTCGTCGGCAAAGTAATTGACGACTATGGACCGGCGCTTCCTCTTGCCATTGGCACTTTCTTCCACGTCTTCGGCCTGATGATGGTCAGCATCTCAAAAACGTACTACCAGATCTTGCTTAGCCAAGCTATCTGCTCTGCAATCGGCGCCTCCATGGTGTTCTATCCTGCTTTTACCTGTGTAAGTCACCGCATTACAAGCTTGTTCACACACTCCGCGTGGGTGACTTGCGGCTGACAGGATTATTTCATTCCATACAGGTTACGACATGGTTCTTCAAGAAACGTGGCGCCGCCATTGGGCTCACGGTCTGCGGCTCGTCCCTCGGAGGCGTCATCTTTCCCATCATGCTGATTCATCTCATCCCGCAGATCGGCTTCGGCTGGTCTATGAGGGTCTGTGCCTTTCTCATTCTGGCTCTGCTGATCTGGGCCAACTTCACCGTTCGCTCACGCATCCCGCCAACCAAACGCCCGTTTCGCGTCATGGCTTTCTTTCAACCATTCCGGGAACTGCCCTTCTCACTGCTTACTGCAGCAGTTTACTTCTTCTACTGTAAGCCTTCTTCGGAAGCGACGCATCATGGCTCTCAAGCTAACTCTCTTAAGGGGGCATGTTCATTCCTATCACCTTCATTGTGGTAGAGGCTCGCGCAGGCGGCATGTCGGAGGGCTTGTCACAATACCTCGTCCCCATCCTGAACGGCGCCAGGTAAGAAACTCCCGCCGTTGTGCGGACTGTCATCCATCATTGCTGACTCGTTACTCGCAGTATCATCGGACGCACAGTACCCAACGCCCTCGCCGACAAGGTTGGCCACTTCAACATGATGATCACAATGAGCTTCTTGACCATGATTCTTATCCTGGCCTTTTGGCTACCTGCGACCGGAAACGCCGCAGACATCACCTTTGCGGCCCTGTTCGGCGTAGCATCCGGAGCCGGTATTGGCTTGACACCCGTGCTCGTCGCGCACATCTCGCCCATTCAGGATATCGGAGTCCGCACCGGTGCTGCGTATGCTGTTGCTTCTATTGCTGCTTTGACTGGCTCGCCAATTGGTGGCGCCATTATCAGCAGCAGTCGCGGATCGTTCCAAAACACCAAGATCTTTGGTGGAGTATGCTGTGCCGTCGGTGTAGTATTATTCATCGCTGCCAGAGTAGCACTGGTGGGCTGGAAACCGCAGAAAGTTTAACATTCTATAGGAGAGTGTCAGGAGATGAATATGTGCTGAAAAAGACAGCATCAAGTACTAGCGGTCATGGTATGCTTGTAAAGTATGGTAAATGGCGGTTGCCAGGAAAAGCCTCATTACACCTGTATATCACACGCTATCATGACCCACTTCTTTCTAGAAATTGATAGCCAATTCTACAAAAATCAATTGGGGTGTCTGTGCAGCCGACGTTCTAGACCCAGAAGGGGTTCATCTACGAATGCACAGAGCAGAGCCTTGGTTCATGAGGTATCGCTGGATGACCTAGATCTTCTGATTCTTTCCAAATCATCAGTATCACGCAAAGGGCAAGCTGAGACAAGAGATTTTCTCTATCCGGGACTAATACAATTCACCAGTCTGCCAGGATTTGTTGTAAGTGACATAGCTCGCAGGTAACCATTCAGGACTAATCAGGAGAGACATCAGCTACTTATCTGGCAGCCCAAGACCCATAGCACCCACGACCGCTCACACGCAGACACTTGGTATCCACTCCATGCATCATCCTGATGCGGTGCTTACCCCGTCGATCGATGCCCTCAGGAACGTTAAGCACGGTTGTGGATGACCGATCACGATAAGCATTTTCACCCGCAGATCGATGAGCCGTGGGACTCGTGGGTTCAAACCAACGCACAGGGTGCATGCACGTCACAGCTCCGCACATAAAGATAGAAACACGGCTTCAACCAAACTACAGGAACTGCTCGCGTGATCATAGCGTGCCAATGTTATTCGCGACGATTTCATGTGAAACCCCATATTTGAGGGTGCTCATCGTACTCGCATCTCAAGCTGGAGCGGCCGTTAACATCTGCAATTGCGAATAAGAGATGTCGCGCAAACAAACTTTCTGTCAAACTGATGATAGCTCAAGACCCTATGCCTTATCAGTCACTTTTCACTTTCTAGATCTGGGCAGGTTGCATGCTAACTGCTACCGGCGCCGGCCAGCCCAGTGATGGACGGCACTTGGACATGGTGTGGTCACTATTTTCGGAACTTTGACAGGGAGAAAAATGGAGCTCTGGCCCACTTCCCAGACACCAGGACTCCGGGTGAGCTTTGCCCACCTTTTGCCATGCGAGAAAAGTATGTATGGCGGCGGTAAAAGTAAGCTTCAACTTGAGACGAACGCCTCTTGAGTCGGGGCTGGAGATCTGCTTGACGCCAGTCGGGATGGGAGCTGAAGAACATCAATGGCGGTGGAGTGGTCGAAGCTCTATGAGCTGTGTAAAAATGTTTAGCAGACACACCCACACCCCTTTTCGTTTACGAGAAAAGAGGCAAAGTCATGGGCCCCCAAATCTCCTCATACCGATAGAAACGCTCGAGCCCTTCCATTGTGTCGTCATGGTAGCACCGTGGTCTGGCCGCACCCATGTGGCGCAGGGTTACATTGACAAACTCCGCGTCATCCATTCATCTCCTTGACAGCGAGTTCAGAACAACGCTCGGACGTCGAAGGTTGGCGCTGCAAAAATCGCGACATTCACCGAGAAGGGTATGCCTGTGGCCCTTAATTCGCTTCGGTATTGATACGGCTGGAAACAATATGAATGTTTCTTCCCCTGGCTTCTGGGAGAACCGAGGTCTTCGCGAAGCAGTTGAGTGGAGTCAAAAGTGTTCTCTCCAACAAGTCGCAAGACGGGCTGCTCCTCATCACCATGCAACTCGTTAAAGCCAAGGATGCATTGCTAACTCATGGCCGAAAGCGAATCGGCGATCTCACGGTCGCATCCAACAGACTTCGAAGTGTGCCGAAAGTAACAACTGCAACATCACGGCTTCCTTCCAATCGCAAATCATGCGCATGCTGGGTGTCCAACGTGCCTGTAACGGTGCCAGTTATAACTGGGCGCATATGCAGTCTTGCCATGGCTTTGACTCTGGCGGCACGATGCATCAACCATAACGGTCATTGACTTGGGAGAAAAACAAAAGCCACGCGCTTCGGCTATCGATGATCCTAGGATCCCTGTTGACGCAATATGGAGCTGATGTGGGCGTTGGAGGCCATTTCCGAGCAACTCCACTCCTGTGACAGCCCGAGCCTTAAGGGTCTCGAGCAGCTCCTCAAACGGCCAAAATAAAGACGGGCAAGCGAGTCAAACAGCATATCGTGACAAATTAGCGCAGCGAAGATGAGCCTCCAGCGTCGTCCCGGGTGGTGGGGGGTTCCCACGACAATCAGCAAATTCTTCATGCAAAACATCTAGATACCAGATTCCCAGGCCTCTGACGGATCCAAGTTCCGGAGACAAATGTCACCCTACCTTGCAAGCTCCTCCTGGCTGCACATCTGCCCGTCCGCGGTCCGAGCACAAGCTAGGAGGGATCTTCGACCGATGACCAGTGCCCTGTCGTCCCATCTTCAGCCACTCTCCCAACCAGTCACAGAAGCAAGACTATCACCACCGCCCTCACTCCAGCAGGAGAAAACAGGTTTCGATGGGTCCAACCCCTCTCTCTGTGGCGAGCATTCCCCTGCTCCCTGCCAAGTGCCGGCCGTGTACTAACAGAGGAGCAACGCTCGAGCGTGCATGTCAAATGGAGATATCAAATCCTGGCCGCGGCTTGCTCCGATCTTTCAAGAAGACGAAGGGCGCGCCGCTTTCCCTTTTCCCCTCGTTTCCCGGAAGAGCTCTTTTCTTTTTCCTCTGAAAAAAATAAAAATACTGCCACCACTCACATGGCCGCGAGGTGAGACAATCGCGCGCCAAACTCACCCAAGCAAGGTTTCGCTCTCATTGGCGAGCTGGGCCCTCGAGCACTCTTTTTACACAATTGGTTTATACGCGGAATTGCTTTGTTAGGTCCGGCGCGAAAGGCTTTCTTTTTTTCCATCTCAGCCATGGCGCCCGGGTATGATGTAGATGACGACGCTGCCCACCTTCTCGTCGCCGGGAACGGCAACGCGGCGAAGTCTATTCCCACAGGGACCGTCGACGACGAGTTGTTCGCGAAGGTCTTACCACGGGTAGACAACGGGGCCATTCACGCAGCACGGCTCGCGTTTGGTAACGAATCCGAAGATGAGAGCGAGGACGAGGCCCGTCGAAGACCCCAGCGAGGCCGTTCTCTGTCCGAGTCTAGCATCATGGTGGGAGCTGTCGGAAGCCACTCCGAAAGGGATACGGACATACCAGTGGAGGGCCCAGGTGGAAGGGAAGCTTCCCGCCCGGGGCGAGACAGCATGGAGTTTAACCCTCCCGCCCGTCCTTTGTCTCGGGGCGACCTCATGCCCCCCGATTTCTCCCATTCAAGGCCCGATAGGGATATCGTCGCCGTTCCTGCTCGAGGCTCGTCTCGCCCCGATCGAGGCAGCATTGACAGCAGCGGTCGGATCGCGTCTCGTCGAGATTATAACATTCCTCAACGGCCCCCTCGCGCTGAAGACATCGAGGCCGCAAGAAGAATTTTGGCGCAGGCTGGAGAGGGCGACTATTACTCATCTAAATCTCCCCGAGGGGCGGCTCACTCCTCACCGCGAGCTGCTCGCTCAGCAACACCTCCGCCCATCGGCCGACCTCATAGGAGAATCATCTACGACGAATCTGACGAGGAGGACGACGAAGACTTCAGCGACCGCAACTATCACGACGAAATTCGGGACGAGGTGCGCGATGCCGTAGTGGCAACTCCAGTTACTGCCATCCACTTGCCGATAGAAGACAAGTCTCGAGATTCATCCAGACCACCGGCATCGCACCACCGGCACAGCCGCAGCAGCAGACCCGTAACATCGAGGCAGTCGTCTCGTCAATCTTCCCAGCCTCCACCCGTTTCGCGCGCCGGCGCATCACTCGCGGCGCACAAACGGGAGCTGCGGACACCTGTTCTCGATCAGCATCGCTTGTACCAGGATGCGGAGCCACCACCAATCAGCCAGAGACGTCCCGATCCCCCACGCTCACGCCGCACGACATACAAAGTATACAACATGGACGACGACCAGGATCAAGATTACAGCGTGAAGAATGGGTTGGCGGCGAGGCTCACGCCGGATTACAGACCAGGGACGGGCGATAGGCGGGCCATGAGCGACGATTCAATCTCCATTTCGCGACAGTCCACATCCAAGCATAGCGTCACCAGCAATGGCTCCGGATCGAACCGCACAGTCGACTTCTTTGGGCCTGGAATCTTTCAGGTTGTTTTACACAACCCGACAACTTCGCACCAACTGCTGAAATTCGCCGAAGCTCGATTCTGCAGCGAAAGTGTCGAATTTCTCAAAAAGGTAAGCAACTTTCGTGTCTCGAGCCGGGGCTTGGACGCGATCACTGACGTCATTGAATCTGCAGGTCGAGCAGTACCATACGACCCTGAACGATCTCGCGGGCATCATGACATCAATTCACAAGGACTTCCTCGCCGAGAGCTCGTCGAAGCAGATCAACGTCAATGGCGAAATGAGGAAGCAGGTCCACGTCGAGATGAAGTCGCTCATGACTAAGACGCTCCCGTCGATGGAGGCTCTGTTTTCTGACCTTCAGGAGAGTGTCGAGCAAGATGTTTTCCTGGACATTTATCCCCGTTTCGTGCGCTATCAGATGGCACTTAACGCGACAAGGGCCTTGGCTACAAACCGACACACATATCAGGGACTCGGCGACTGCTTCTGTTTGACAAACCCATCGTAAGTTTACTCTCCAGTAGCACTCAGATTTCCGAAGCTGACATTGCGCGTGAACAGAGTTGCGGACAACCCGATCGTATTTGCCTCGGACGGCTTTGTCAAGGTCACAGGATACACGCGTCCCGAAATCATCCCACGAAACTGCAGATTTCTGCAAGGAGCACACACAGACCGGGTGCCAATTCGTCGACTGAAGAACGCTATCGATGAGCGGAAAGAGTCCGTGGAACTTATTTTGAATTATAAGAAGAATGGCGACCCTTTCTGGAATTTGCTCTATGTCGGTAAGTAATCTCTTGAGCTCATTCTACTGGGCGGCGATGGTAGAAATATCTCGCGAAGGCTCCGACATTTCTACTAGA